TGAATTTCCCCAGGGCAAGCAGAATGTGGGAAGGAGGGAAGAGGATGTAGGAACAAAGAACTGCATGTGGGCCAGCATTATGGTGGAAACCCTCCCAGGGGTCTGCCTCAGCTAGACAGGGCAGGTGGAGTCAGCTAGAAAGGCCTTAGCCCAATTTTTATAAATGGCCCAATGGGAGACAGCAAGACCTAGGTGACATATGAGGAAACGGGTGACCTCATAGTATTCAGCCAATGAGGAACCAGAGGAGGGACTAAATAAATAGGCTGTGTTCCCTGGCCCACGTGTGAGCCTGTACAATGGACGTCCACTCTCAAGAGTGTATTAAAGTCTCATTTTCACCATGCTCTGTTTCCAAGACCATCATTTGAAATTTGGACAGGTGGGCATTTCTCACAGAGGGAAACTGGGTGCGGGGGCTGGTGTCAGGAGCCCTCTAAATACCCTTTAGTATTGATTAGCCAGATCAATCAGACTCTCTCTCTGGCCTCTGGACTGGAGAAGGAACAACTATTAGAGAGGTGCATCAAGACAAAAAGGCGCAGAGATGAGACGGGACCAGAGGTGTGTCCACTCTGGACGCACCCTGGATCCCGGACTCCCTTCTTGGATGTGTTGCCAAGATCCAATCTCCTATTTCGTTTGGCAGATCTGAAAGGAGTCTCTGCTTAATAGCAGGAAGTGTTTATGTGTGCACATGTGTGTGCACGTGCATGCATGTGTGTGCATGCAAAAGGAAAGCTAAATCCTCCTAGGTGGTTGAGCTAAATGACTTTTGCAGTCCTCTACAGAGTGAGTCCAGTAGATGAGTGTGCTGTCAAGAGGTTTTTTCCGCATCTCCAATCAGTTACAAAAGAAGGCAGTCCATCATCTCAGGCAGCTCTGAGAGAGGTTTGGGGGGTCGGGGGACAGAGCTCACTTGGCTGGGGCCCACTTGCCTGGGGGTGCTGATGCAAGGGAGACCCCTTTAGTAATAAGTGCAGTTGTGCCCCTCAGTGCTTGACCGTTAACCTATGAACTAGGACAGTGGTCGGCAAACTGCGGCTCGCGAGCCACATGCGGCTCTTTGGCCCCTTGAATGTGGCTCTTCCACAAAATACCACGTGCGGGCGCACATGTACAGTGCGATTGAAACTTCGTGGCCCATGCACAGAAGTCGGTATTTTGTGGAAGAGCCACACTCAAGGGGCCAAAGAGCCGCATGTGGCTCGCGAACCACAGTTTGCCGACCACTAAACTAGGAGATCATGGTTCAATTCCCAGACAGGGCACATGCCCAGGTTGTGGGCCCAATCCCCAGAAGGGGGTGTGCAGGAGGCAGCCGATCAAGGATTCTTTCTCATCATTGATGTTTCTCTCTCTCTCCCTCTCCCTTCCACTCTGAAATAGATTTAAAAAAAAAGAAGAAGTACAGTTATGCTGCCTCTTCGTCCAAGGACATGGCTCTCTCAGTTAAATACTAGACATTCTAAGGAATGGTGAACATTATGTAACTAACATTATGGAATGCTTACTATGGGTCAGGCACTACACCAGGTGCTTCAGAACACTGCAGCCTTTACGCTGCAAACCAGTCGCCATAGTGGGTGTTATCAAGTCAAGAGACTCGTCCAAGGTCACATGACTGGGCTGGCTGCAGAAGCACCTGGTGGGGCTAATTCACAGTTGCCTCCGTGAGTAGAAGGGCGTGTTCCCAGTGCCGTACCCACAAGCCCCGGTGCCGTTGGGCACCAGTGTGAACACTGGGCAGGGGGGTGATGAATAAAGATTTCTTTCTCCTCTGTGGTTTCCTTTCCTTTAAAAACACTGCATGATAAATTTACTTCCTAACGATTTCTGAGTAAACTACAATGGCCACAATTTCAAAATCATTAATAATTCATGACTAAGGGCCATAAACACTATATAATCTCCACAGGCAGGAACCATGAATACTTGTTGAGAATACTTTTACCAGCTACATGGAAGTCTCTACCGACTTGAAGCCAACCATCAAAGACACATTTTTCAGAAATGCTTCTAACCCTTCCGAAGCCTCAGCTCAAGATGCCTCTTCCAGGAAGTCTTCTCTCCCTCCCCCGCACCCTGGGTCTCCTCTATGATGTCTGCCATCCTGAAAAGGGGGGTCCTCCAGCCAGGCCGGCAGGGCGTGCGCAGGGAAGCACCTGGGGTTAGTTACCACCTGTAACTCCAGCTTCCCATCACAACCACTTGGGGAAATTAAAATACTCGGCTGCCTGGATCACGCTGCCAGAGATTCTGCTTTAACTGCTCTGGAAAGAGGCCTGGATGTCAGGGTATAGAAAAGCTCCGGGTGATTCTGTGGCCAGCAGTGTTTGTGAACCACTGCCATTAAGCACTCAGCATGGGGCCTGCAATGCAGCTGCTGAAACCCGTTTGCTGTAGAGCAGAGACGGGGGCAGGGAGGCAGCCTGGAGGGCTCTCCTGGAAGGGGCACATCCTCAATAGCAGCCATGGCCATTGTTGCCATATAGGAACAAGGACCTGCTGTCATTCTCCACTTTCCCAAAGAAGCCAGAAGTGTGCATTTTTACGTGAAATCTCCAATTTTTAAATGTGGACACCTCATTCTAAAAAACTGTAATAGAGTATGGGCCAAATAAAACAATCTTCGGGCTGAATTGGGCCTGGCAAGCTCACTGAAAACAGCTGCCCATCCTCCTTTGCCGTGTTGGCCCTTGAACACTCAGAAAAGTACCCATGGAAACCGCGTTCTCCGGCCAAGGTGTAAGGAGGCCCAGATAACCTCACGGCCCAAGAAACACGCCACATGTCATCCACCTGTCCTCACCAGCATGTCTTTTTCTCATCTTTCATGGGGACAGAGCTTGTCTACACCTGACACCCTGTGTGAGGCACAGCGCATCAGGAGGTGCAGATTCCACAGACTGGGGAGGGTGGGGGTGGGAGGGGGTGATGCAGAAAGAGGAGGTGGATGGAAAAGGCCTGTTATGACATAGAAGGATGAACATCCTGGCAGCATGGCATTAATTTCTTTCTCTTGTTTTTCTGACCAAGCAAAAGCCCTATTTGAGAGTCAGCACCCTCTTTTTCAGAGGGACCAAATATCTTTCAGGGTGAAAGTTGAATATTGTGATAAACAACCCCATTCTCTATTTTCCCTCACTTTCAGAAGAGGAGTGTGATCTGAAATGCTCTCAGGCAACTGATGTGATGGGAGTAGCCTAGCCGGGAAAGTGCCAATTAGGGGGGTCCTGCTGCCAGGAGGAGGGAGGGAGAGTGTTTCCACTGGCTACCTGCTCCCTGCTTCCTGGGGTCCCAGCTAACTTCTTACTGTGGATGAGTGGGATGCTGTTGTTCCGTAACCTAAGACATCAGTTAGGTTTACACCATTCATTCCTGGCTGAGCAGGGCTGGTCACCATCCTCGGTCACTTCGCAGAGGAAGACCAGGTGCGTGCAGGTCTGAGCTCCTCCCGTTCTTTGCAGGAGGCGAGCACACCTGCGCCTGCTTCCAGAGAGATCTCCCTACCAGAGAGCTGCAGGAAAATGCACCCTTGTTCAGCATCTAGATTGCCCACTGGAGCTGACATTTATTTAGGCCATTCCAGCAGCATCAAGCTTCCCAAGTTATGTCCCAGCCCTCATTCCAGGCAGGTTGATCGAATAAGAAAACCCACACTGGCTGTTCTGGCTGCAGCTGAGAAAAGGAGGAGAGGATGAGTCACAACAAAGTAAATGGGGCGTCCAAACCCAACCTGCCTCCTCAGAGCTGGCTGAGGGGAGGCCAGCACAGAGGAAGCAGAGCCACGCGTACAAAGAGAAAGACCAAGTCTTGTGGCCATTTTTGAGCCCCTGGGCCCAGCTGAGCCTGAGAAATTCCCTTAGAACTGTATCACTTTACAATCAAGAATGTTAGTACCCAAGTGTTCATGAATTTCAGGATTGGTTGATATTTATGACAAGCTATACACCTTCATACCCCTGCACCCATATGCCACTATTAAGACTCAAATTTTAACTCCCATGAGTTTGAGACCTCCCTGCGTAACCTATGAGTCCTTGCACCACTTCCCATCTCAGGCTCAATGATCTTGCCGCTTTCCTATTCGTGTCTCTGTGACTTTGATCATGCCCTTTACTTGGCCTGGAAATCTCCCACTCACGCTTTAGGAGGCAGCCTATACATCGGCTTTTCTGCAGTCTTTCTTACTAATCACTGGCAGAGTTAGGTGACCCCCTTTGTGTATTGAAACCTTTTCTTTGCCCTTCTCTCACTATATTGGCACTTTCTGTATTATAATCTGTTGCACATCCTGAGATCAAGGGCTGTCTCACCCATGCCTTAGTTCCCAGCTGGTGCCTGGCACAGAGCAGATGGGTTCAGAATGGTAGATTTCAAGAATGGCCGTAATATTTTGTAGATTTCCTCTCAAGAAGTGAGACCTATTTCCCACCCCTTGAATCTGGGCTGACCTTGTACTTGCTTTGAGAAACAGAAAGTGGCAGAAGTGACCATGCCAGTTCTGAGCTAGGACTCAAGAGGTCCTACGCTTCCATTCAAACTCTGAAGTCTTGAACCTCCATGTGGCTAGCTTGCTGGAGGATGAGAGAACATTGGAGGAGAACTAAAGCTTCTAACCGATAGCCCTAGGTGACAACAGTGAGTGACAAATGCTTAAGTGAGCCCAGCTGAGGTCAGCAGACCTGGCCCATCAGCAGATGCCCAGGTAAGCCTCGCCCAGACTGCTGCCCCCCCCCCCTCAGAATTATGAATAAATGCATGGCTGTTTTTAAGTTGCAGTGATTTGTTACACAGACAAAGCTAACTGACACATTCAACAAGAGATTATGACCAACAAGTGACACTGGTTGATAACTCTAGTTACCAACTATTATTTAGTCAGGGATTCAAGCTTGGGACTCAGCGAGGAGAGCCAGGAACACTTAATCCCCAGCCTGCTCCCCCGTCCCTTCAAGTAGCTGCCTCCCACCAGCCCTCGCCAGTGACACATTTACCTCCTTGTTCTCCCGAGAGCAGGACCGACTTCTCTCAGCCTTTCGCAGAGTCTGACCTGTAGCAGTTCAAAAGCAGAACCAGAGATTAAGGCTGTTTTAAAACAGCTAGTTTATCACCACGAACGCTTTTTATTTGCAAACTGGATAGGCAAGAAAATCATAATCCAATGATTTTAAGAAAATGTAGCCCATTATTATGATGGGAAATGGTATACTCTTGAAATAAAGCAACGGCAAGGAAATGCTAATTCACACACGTTACTTGACTTTAATGAACAAAGCTCAGCTCTTTAATCTGGAGCATTCTCTGCACTCTGCAAGGGCCCACAGCCGCTCGTTTCCCCAGTCGAACTGCATTTTTATTAAATTGTTTGGATTATAAAATACCTTCAACTGTGCATACACATAACCTCTGATGTGCTGCGCCAAACCCCAAACTTGGCCACAGGTGATGATACAGATGGGAATTAGCAGGAATCCCCGCATTTCACATAACGGGCAATTTCAGAGAAAATTGTTGCTTAACTCAGAAAACGGGAAGCCTAACACTGAAGGCATGCATAAATTCAACAGATCGCCACCAGAATGTTTAAATAGGCTGTTCTAAATGCAGAGCTTTTATGGCAGCGTCCATTATAAAAGAATTCCTTAATGAAAAATTAATGGATTGCCTTGGTTTTAAAATAGAAAATGAGAGTCACTGCACATTGTCAAGGCGTCTCCCAAACTGTCCAACCCCACCCTCGAGTGGCTCTCTGTGAGGATGCCACAGCCACATGTCCCCTTAGCCAGGAGCACTCAGAAGGCAGGAGCAAGAGGGCTTAGTGATGACCTATTGAGAGGCAAGAGGTAGGGCCCACTGGACATGGTCACGTCCAGTGGGTCTACACATGACCGGGGCATGATGGGGGCGGGGCTCCCAGCGGGCAATAAAGCACAAGGTGGGAGGAGTAACATGTTGCTCTTTCTAAGAAGGTGAGAATAAGGGAAGAGCTAGAGCCCAAAGATGAACCTCTGGGCAAACTCTGGGGCCAATACTATTTTAAAGGATTTAGAAAAGAGACACCTGGTGACTTCTCAGGAGACCATGGATTAGACAGTATCATGGTTTGGGAAACATCTTTTGGGTTATCTGCCCCCTTCTCTGTTCTTCTCCTCCCCATCCCCAGGGTGGGACCCTGACCCAGCTGCAGCCAATCAGAATCCCAGCCTCAGGAATTTGGAATTGGTTCTGAGAGACGGGTTAAGGGGGCCAGAGCAGGGTTATCTGTGTGTGAGCTTTGACACGGTGACCAGCCAGCCTTGGGACAGACTAAGAGAATGACAAGACAGAACAGACTTAGCTGAAGCTGATTGCATGCCTGCCTCTGTGGTCACAGAGAGCCACTTAGACTATTCTGTGTGTATTTTCTTTCTTTCCTTTCCTTTTTTTGCCTTAAGACAAAGAACCCAGGATTTAGGATGAGAAAGAGCCTAGGAAAACATACCACTGTGTGGGGGTGGCGATCGTTGCGGAGGTTGTAGGTGTGTTAGGACAGGGGATATATGAGAACTCTCTGTACTTCCTACTCAGTTTTGCTATGAACCTTAAACTGCTCTAAAAAATAAAGTTGTTTATTTTTATATTTTTTTATTTTTAGAAAAGCGTCCAGGATATAGGGATCACGTGATATGAGTTGTTAGGCCAATTTTATTCTAACTTCCTTACTCTGAGGCTCTGGGGCAGGAGCCAGGGTGGACGGCTCCCACGATCACTTGCTCTGGCTGTCAGAGGAGGGACACACCAGGTAATACAGGCCATGTAATGCAGAGCCAGGAGCTAAGGGACAGGTCTGGACCTGGAATAGGACAGAGTGGGCTGGTGGCCAGGGGACAGAGAAGGAGGTTTTTAGTAGCGGAAGTAGTTCTGAGGCGAGTACGATGCCAGCAGGGCCAAGTAAGGCCCAGAGCAAGGGTAGGGAGCAGGAAGGAAGCAGAGCTAGGCCAGGGTAAGCATGGCGGACCCAGAGTCTAGCTGAGGTCCTTCCTGTGCTGGTCGGACACATGACTGGGGACCTGGTCCAGTGGACAGCTAACCAGTTAGGGCGCCCTGGGTAAGTCACAGGATCCAACAGGATCTCTCTGGACCATATTTTCTTCCTTAAAAAAAAAAAAAAAGACTAAATTACCTCCGGGTTTGCTTTTCTTCTATAAAATTCTGTTTCACCGATAAGGAACAGGGAAAGAAACCACCATTAAGCTGGGTCATAAAAACAAAATATTAATACAAAAAACATAGAGCTTAACGACTGAAATATGAAAGCAAATCTCTTTACTGGAGTTAATTAGAAGCTTCTTTATTCATTAAATTGGAAAACAAAGTGCTTATTTTCCAATGAAGATAATTCGCTCTAATTACACGCATTTGTTATCTAATGCCCCTGTCCTCACACCACTGAGCCCCTCTCTCCTCCAGGTAACTCCGTGTGGACACAGCTCCTTCTTGCCAAGGATGGGAGGAACCAGATTACACCAGGCCCGTCTACTGCTGCTGCACTTAATTTCTCTGAGTATCCTCCTACTGAGATCGCATTTTATTCTCACAATTCAGGGAGCAAGGTGGAAGGAGTAACATTAACATATATGCTGCCTGCAAAATTAAGGGGATGTCCCTCTGCCTTTTGCAAGGTGACCTGCCAGATTCAGCCATGAAACAATAAATAAGGCCAAATGTAAATGATACCTGTGTACCTTACTTTATAAAACAGATGTGTGCCTGGGGAAGAGATGAAAAGAAGTGAATGCACTGAATTTTTTAACTATAATATCATTCTCTCACTTATGATTTCAGAGAGATTTTATCTGCCTCAGGATTTATTTTCAGTGGTAGGAAAACTGTGATATTCCGTTTTACTTTGCTCTAGATGCAGATAATAATATGCATCGCTACCATTCAGAGGGGAGTTGTTGCTTCCTTGGATGTTAGCTTCTGAAGTCATCAGGCAAGGGAAATCAGCATCAAAATTACCCCTGAAAAGAAGCCTTACACCTCCTGCAAAGCACAGTCTCCAGGACACAGCCTTTCAGATCCACTGCTGCAGACTGGTATGCATGTGCAATATTTAATGTATATGGAAATGTATGCTACATGATAAAAATATCATTTATGATATTTTTAATTAAACTATTCATATTGTAATTACTCCAGTTTTCCTCTTGGAGTTGGAGGAGAGTAGCAGAAGTGGGGACAAGACTGGGGCATGTAGTTCATGAAAGTTAAATGCTGGCTTGCTGCAGCCCCACTGTACTGGACACCTAAATACGTGCCAGCTTCATGTCCCACATCCTTACAACCACTCCTGTCGATCAGGGGTCAATAACCTTTTTCTGTAGAGCTAGACAGTAAATGTTTTTTACTTTATAGGCCATAAGGTCTCAGGTACAACTAACTACTCAGCTCTGCCATTGCAGTGTGACAGCAGCCATAGACATCATGTCAACAAGCAGGTGTGGTTGTGTTCCAATAAAACCTTATTCATAAAAACAGGCAGCAGTGCCCTGGCTGGTATGGCTCAGTTGGCTGGGTGTGTTCTATGCACCGAAAGGCTGTGGGCTCAATCCCAGATGGGGGACATGCAAGAGGCAGCCAATAAATGTTTCGCTCTCACATTATCTCTGTCTCTGTCTGTCTGTCTCTCTCTTCCTCTTTCTCTCCTTTTCTCTCTAAACAAACAAACAAAGAACTAAATAAAACAGGCAGCAGACTAGACTTTGGCCCACAGGCAGCAGTTTGCTGATTCTCGCTTTAGATGGACAGTATTATGCCCATCGCTACAAACCAATGATGAAATGACAAACAAAATGGGGGTGACTGAGCTGCTTGTTCAAGGTCACAAACACGCAGCAGGGCTCAGTGTGCTCCTCATCACCATCATCACTGCCACATCCTCAGCATGAGCAGCAGCAGCAGCAGCACGGTCATCACCACCACCGCCAGGACCTCACCTTAATCAGAGTTTACTGTGTGCCCCTCATTGAGCTCCAGGCTAAGTACATAAATCAACTCGTTTACTCTTCACAGCTACCCTACGAAATAGGTGCTATTATTATCCCACTTATCAGAGGAGGGCACCCAGCCCCAAAGAGGTCAGGAAAGTGTCCAGTATCACCCAGCTAGTGAGTAGCGAAGCCTTGATTTGAATCTGGGCAGTCTGGCCCCAGGGCCTGCACACCTAACCACTAAGTACATTGCCTCTGTCAGATCTTTAAAGACAAGTACAAGAAGGCCAGAATGGGCTGGGGAGGGAGTCTGACTTAAGGATCTCTTTCTGTGGTGCACCTGTTTAATGTACTTTGGACACCTAAAGCAATTAACAAGGGGATTAGAAGAAAATGATTCCTCAAGGGCAAAGGGAGATGGAGCTCCCTACTGGCCAGATAAAGCCCAATGTGGAGAGGCAAACCTGGCAGTCACAACACACCATCCACTCAGGCAAATGCACAGCCTCAACCGGCAGGGGTGGGCTTTGGAGAATGAAGGTGTCAGTGGAAATCCTGCAGGCAGAGGGCCCTTGCAGGGACCTCCCATCACAGAGGAGTTTTGAACAAAGAATTTGTTTCTCCCCGCTGGGGTGATGGTGCTTCCATTAGGTTACTAAAATAATCTCATTTCTTCTGTTGTCCAAATAGGAGGGCTCGCAGTGCTCTCGGACTTATATGTCTATGTAATTTAATTTAAATGACAAATGTCCCACTGAGATTCCACTCTCTCTCACCTATCTGAACGGCAGAAACCCAAGGTTTGACAATATACTGTTGGCAAGAGCTGGGAAGCAGGCACTTTTGAGCACTGCTGGGAGGAGTACAAAATGGCACTTTCCCTTTGGAGGCTATTTCAAAGATATCCTCAAAGGACAAATGCATTTTCCCTTTGAGCTAGCAATATCACTTCTAGGAGTCTACCGTGAAGAAATGCCTCCACAAACAGGAAACAAATGCATGCACAAGGTATTCACTGTATCATCACTTACAACAGCGAATGTTAGAAATAACCTTTAAGTCTAAGAGTAGGGACTCA